CTGCACCTTGTTGTCTCGGATTCTCCAGCATCTGCAGTTCCTACTATCTCTGATCCAAAAATCACAAGCTGCATGGATAGGGTGAACAGCCAAGGTCTTTACCGCAGCATAGGGGTATCCAAAACTAGAGGGATAGGTTTAAGGTGAGAGAGAGAGGAAAGATATAAAAGAGACCTAAGGAGCAACATTTTCACACAGAGGGTGGTGCACGTATGGAATGAGTTGCCATGGGAAGTAGTGGAGGCTGGTACAATTACAACATTTAAAAGGCATCTGGATGGGTACAGAGGGATATGGGCCAAATGGGACTAGGTTAATTTAAGATATATGGTTGGCATGGATGAGTTGGTCTGAAGGGTCTGTTTCCATGCTGTACATCTCTAACTTGACAACTGGTACCAAGGACTTCCAGGTCTCCTTGAACATTTGCCTCTTTCAATTTACAGGCAAATACTTTGCTGTCTTCCTACTTTTGTTACTAAAGTGGGTAAACATTTATCCACATTATATAGTATCTGTCATGCATTTGCCCACTCACTCAGTCTGTCCAAATCAAACTGCAACATCACAGCTTACCCTTCCACCCAGCCTCAGCTCAACCAAAACAAGGTGGGGAAAATTTAAAAGATATCACATAGCACTTTTTATTATACAAAATCAGTTTCACATTTAACTTTCAGCTTGTGCTAAATTAGGCAGGGTAGTAGGAGAGTACTAAAACACAAGTTTGAAGTGAAGGGAAAGCATTTTTGTTATTCCATTACTACAGCACTCGCTTTTCAAGTGGAAACGACTTGGACTTAAGAGTCATACAGCACGAAAACAGACTTTTAGGTCCAACCAATCCATGCCGAACATAATGCCAAATTAAACTAGTCCCACCTGCCTGCTCCTGGCCCATATCCCTCCAAACCTTTCCCATTCATGTATTTATCCAAATGTCTTTTAAAGTTCATTCAACACATGAACTATCCTCTGCATAAAAAAAAAGTCCTTCCATGTCTTTTCTTCTAAAATCTCTTTCCTCTCACCTTAAAAATATGCCCCACGGTTTTGAAATCCCCCGTCATTGGCAAAAGACAACTACCATTAACTCTATCTGTACACCTCATTATTTTATAAGCCTCTATCAGATCACCTCTCAATCTCCTATGCTCCAGTGAAAAAAGTCATAGACCTTCCAGCTTTTCTTTATAACTCAAACCTTCGATATCCAGTAAAATCTCTTATGAGCCTTCTCCAGCTTAATAATATCCTTCCTATAACTGGGTGATCAGAACTGGACACAGTACTCCAGAAAAAGCCTCACCAACATCCTGTACAACCCAACTCCTATACGCAAAGGACTGAGCAATGAAGGCAAGCGTGTCAAATGCCTTTTTAACCACCCTGTCCACTTGTGATGTAAACTTCAAAGAATTATGTACCAGTACCCCTAGGTCACTCTGTTCTACAACACTGTCCAAGGCCCTACCATTAATTGTACAAGCCCTACCCTTGTTTGTTGTACCAAAATGCAATACATCACATTTATCCAGATTGAACTCCATCTGACATTTTACAGCCCTTTGACCCATTTGATCAAAATCCCTTTGCAACCTTAGAAAACCATCTTCACTGTCTACTATGCCACAAAGATTTTTTTTTTGTTATGCACAAACTTACTAATCATGCCTTCCACACTCTCATTCAAATCATTTATATAAATAATAAAAGGAGGACCCAGAACCGATCCCTGTGAAAAATAGCCTCTATCTGAAAAGCAACCCTCCACTACCACTTTGTCTCCTACGATTAAGCCAATTATGTATCCAATTGGCAAGCCCACCCTGAATCTCTAACAGCTGAGATCTGGTAGGCAGACAACCCATGACCGGGCTCATAAAGTAAACAACAAAAAAAAATGTATAGGCAGCTGTGCTTAAATTGCTAACAGAAAACAATAGCCGCCATTTGCCTCTTATATTTTGTGACCGGGTGCAAAATGGCGGTTGGCCTTTCCTCGCGCTGCAAACTGTTCAATAAACGTTTGTGCACGCGCCACTGGGACAGCGCTTCCCTGACCCACAGTCAAACGTACCTTACAATAAAAAACGTTGGCCGAAACCATATTTTTAAGCTCACGGTTCACGCGGTCCTGTCGCCGATTAACGTCTCCCATCATGTCAATGTGAAATCTGTATAAGTTAAAGACATGCGTAATATGTTTCAAAATCTCAAGGTGAGAAATTTCGCGATACAAAATAAATAGCAGACCAACCGAGAATGAGCCTCCTTGATACCTCGCAGGATCTTTTAATATCATTGCTCCTCACACCACAAAACACTAGAAGTGCCCATAATAAACACAATACCCACTTTCGTAGTGCCATACCTGACAAGATAATTCTTAAATTACCAAAATAAATTAAATCCTGACGCCCAAGGTCTCTGATTGTAAACGACAAACGATTACCCCTCAACCTTCCGGCGTGATCACATAATTTCCTTAGAAACGAAAACCGCACGCCCAATAAGCAAAAAGTCGTCAAGGCTTTAAGAAGCGGGTGGACACGATAAAATATTATAGTGGCCTCAAACCCTTTAGATGAGAACCAAGTTGGCCCGGCTGAAATAATATTGCTTGAATTATTAATTCTGATTCTAAAGCGAGATTGGTGTTTTCCCTGAACACAATCGAATTTGCCAAACATCCGGGACGCCAACAATGTACGGGAAGTGATGTCATGGTCAACCGGAAGTTAGTTTTTGACTGGATCGACGTCTTCGTCCGTGAAGAGCCTTCTATTGTGGAAAGCGGCAATTATCGTTATCCATAATTACCAAGATCGACTTTGGACGGTCGCTTCGTCAGTAATTTTCACGCACGAGGCAACTATTGGCGAGTAAAAAATAATTTGTTAGCTGAAGGAAATGTTGTAGTTGTACCATTACATGTTTGTGTGTGGTAGTGGGTTGGAATGTGTCTTTCATTAGGCCCAGACGATGGTGATATTATAGCAATATTTTGATCTATTCTTCAACTTCAAGCTAAGTGAGTTAAGTAAAATTAATTAAGCTGTTCACACGATTTAAAAGTTTAGGCAGTGAGATTTCATCATGTGGTGGGGTGGAAGGGAGATGCATTTTTTCCCGTACCTGAAATATCAGGAACAGTCAGGCTGATAATGATGTCAAGTTCACATATTTTAAAATTGAGATATGGAGTTGAAAAGGCTCAACCTTCTGTCAGAGACGCCACTGTATTTAAAGAGTGATGAAATAAAGTCTACTGATTAAAGGACGAAACAATATCTCAAAAAATAAATTTTGCGCCTTTGATATTTCGACAATAAACATGTTGCCTTACTCAGTAGGCAGAGTTGAGATGGCCACGCTATTGAGAATTATAAATTAAGGTTAACCTATAAACTGGAACTTTGAAACTAACATTTTCTAGACCTTCAGAGATAGCAAGAACTGCAGATGCTGGAGTCAGAGATAACA